GTGTATAGGGTCTCACTGATGGGGCCCTGGGTTCAGGTGGGAGGTCTTCCCAATCTGGCCAATGACCCAGTGGTCCTGGGGGCTGGCAGGGCTGGCACCCGCCTCTAGAGCCAGCCCTATGGTTGGCACCTACAGCACTGGGCACTGGAGGGCTAGACCCGGGCCAGGGGCTGGGCAGCGGGCGGAGGTCCTGGGCAGGTGCCAGCAGCTCCAGGGCCCGCAGACCCTGGCAGAGGCACTGGGCCCCGTTGGCTGCGTCGCCCCTCTCGCTATGCCTGGCGACCCTGAAGTTCTCATTCTCCTGAGCTGACCTTACAGGGACAGCCTGAGTCACATGTCCAGGCCGGGCCACACTGGAGAGTGCCCCCAGCTCTCGCCCTGAGTCGCCCACCCTCCCATTCTCGGGGCCTCGGGAGCACACAGCTCCACCCCCAGGAGGCCCTGTCCGGCAGGCAGCACCGGCCATCATGCCCTGCAAGTCCCTGGCTCCCCAGGAACCAATAGACACAGGGCCCCGGAGACCCCGAGAGCAGCAGCAGTCCGCCTCTGCCACAGGCCACACCACCGCACACATGGGACCCTTCTTGGTGTGAGGGGGTGCCGTACCCCGCCCACACTCCAGCCCCTCTCCCCCCGTGGAGGGGGCTCTGCTGCTCCTGTGGCCCGGCCTGGGGCTGCCGTTGCCAGCGGGGCCCCCTGTACCAGGGAGCTGGCCTTCCCCTGGGACCCCATGCTCTTGACTCACCCCTGCTAGCCTGGAGGCCTGAGTGGGAGTGAAGGCAGGGCTGCAGAGGTGGAGGTCCTGGGTACCTGTCCCCCCTCCCTCCCTCTGCGAGGTCTGTGGATGGTGTGGCGGCAGGTTGGGGAAATTTTTGGAGGAGTCCCACCCACCCCTGCAGAATTGCAGAGATGAATTGAGGGGCGGACCTGAAAACTCCAGGGGACAGAGTGAGGAGGAGGTGCCTGGAGGCTCGGGCCGGGGGGCCGGGGGCCCGGCATCCGTGCCCGCTCACCATGGGGTGCACTGCGCAGCGGACAGTGTTCCACAGCAAACGATGCTATGGCTCCCTCTGCCCCAAGCGCCTTCAGTCCCCTGCCTGTGTCCAGGGCCATTGCGACAGAGGGAGCTGTGGACGGGCAAAGCCACTTTGGAACCCAAGACACATGTCTAGGGTCTGACAGGGGCCAAGAGGGCCCTCAACGCCCCAGGGTGCTGGTCTGGAGACCCTGTCCAGGGGACTGGGCTTGGCCCCACAGTCGGCTGTGGTGGGCCCGGCTTGCTCAGGCTGGCCCCACTGCGCCCCCTGCAGGCTGCCTGGCTCCGTGCCTGGTGGGGGGCGGGGGGAGGTCAGGGGCTCCGGGAGCCATGAGGGGACACAGGCTCCTGCCCCACATGCAGTGCCCCATGAGCACGCTCTCCTGCAGGGCACACTGGACACTGGGACTGCCCTAAGGACCAGTGCAGGTCCTCTTGTCCCCGGCTCTGTGGGGCTGTGCTGCCCACTGCCAAGTGTGTTCCTGTCTCCTCAGCGGCTGGCACCCCATCACGCTGGACGCAGCCCACATGGGGCCCTGCCAGCGGGTGGTGACTGGCCTGAGGATGGACCCTTCTGGATGGAGCTTTGGCAGACAGAGGTGCTTTGGGTTTGCCCTGAGCTGAGGGCATGGCAGTGCTGGCAAGCCCGGCCTGTGTGTGTGCGCACTCCTCCCGGGCCTGTCCGCTCAAGGCATGGAGGCTGGCTAGCCTAGAGACCGTCCTGCGGCCCAGGTGCAGGGCCTGAGGGAGCCACAGAGGCCTGGAGGCCTGGAGGCCTGGAGCCGTGCCTGCTGGAGGGCAGGGAGGGCACGGAGGGCCAGATGGCCCCTCAGAGGGCTGTCAGAACAAACCCCCCAGAGCCGGGCAGCCACCATCCTGCCAGGAAGCTTTCCCAGCCCGCCAACAGCCCGCTCCGAGGCCTGTCCTCAGGTAGCAGGACTCGAACTCCACCCCGGGGGTCCCGCTTCATGACTGGAAGTCCCTGTCACTTCCTCTGCTACCCTGCATTGCTCTTGGGTGTGGACCTGAGCGTCCGTGTGGAGGGACTCCAACTTTGCATCATCCAGGGGCTCTGCCGCCATTCCGTGGTGGATTTCTGTGACCTCACCTTCCCGGCGGCTCGCCCCTCCTCCCTCCACCAGCTCGAGCCCCTCCCCGCCCTGGCAGGAAGCTCACTTGAGGGAGGGGCGCTGTGTCCTGTCAGGAGGCACGGAGCTGCGGAAGTCCAGACTCCTGGGCTGCTGTGTGCCCAGCTGGGGTCATGTTTACCCGCGGAGGGCTGCTGCCAGGGCCCCGGCCTGGCCTCAGCACCCCGTTAACACAAGCTCCAGGATGAATGCCCATTCAACCACATAAGGCCTCTTTGTCCTGGGGAGGGGCCCCAGCCAGGACACTGCCCGGCGGCGGCGTCCTCGGCACGGCCCCCAGCACGTCGTGGCCCCACAGGGTCTTCTTGGACGGACTCTGGTCTTGGCTTGGAGAGGCTCGAGTGTGGGGACAGAGCCCTGGGCGTCGCTTGGAGGGGCTGGGAAAAGTCAGGCGGGCAGAGTTGGTGAGGAAGAGGCTTGGCCGCAGCCTTCTGCTCTGTGGAGCTGGTCTTAACAGAGCAGCTCTGATCTCCATGGCTGCCTGGCCCACCGGCAGATGAGGAAGAGCTGGGCAGCCTGTCTGCTTCATGCCGAGGGGAGGTACGGCCCACACCATCTGGCAGCCTCCCCTGGCCAGTGCCATGTCCCTGTGGCAACTGCCAAGCGGCCTGGCAGGCTGGTGGCCGGCTCCTAGCGGCTGTGTCTCCCCTAGGTGGAAGGGCGCCTGTCAGGAATGGGGTAAGACGCTGTTTGTCAGCAGGGTGGTGTCGCGATAGCACATAGGGTTCTGTAGACCTGGAAGTGTGGCATGGGGATGGGGGGAGTCCCAGAGCAGCATGCCCAGGGCTGCGTGCCCCAGGACTCTGTGGAAGGGGGGAGTCCCAGAGCAGCATGCCCAGGGCTGCGTGCCCCAGGACTCTGTGAGGCTTGTCACCGATCTGCCCTGTTAAGCCCAGACACTGGGGCTTCTGCTCCCAGACAGGCACTGTTCTCAAAATGGGCTGAGCACAAACTCATCCTCCTCAGACCTCCTGGAGTCCAGGGGCTGCTTAGGCTGACGGTCCCCCAGCCTCTGCAGCGGCCCCTCTAGCTCCCAACAGTGGACCTCACACTCCAGTCTTCTAGACGCTGTGGTCCAGGCTGGCATTGCCCCCTGGTGGCAGGCAGATGTATAGCCGCCGCCTGCTGGCGGCCCTCTCGAGGTGCATCCCGTGAGACCCATGGCGGTAGGCCTGGGACTGTGATCAGCCGCAGTGGCGGGGGGCGGGGGGGGCGTACCAGGCCATAGGGCCTCCCAGCCCTTGGGAGCTGGCTGCTGCCCACAGGGGGGAAGTCCTGCGATTCCATAGGCTGCCCTCTGCCTGTTTCCGGGCACTATGCTCTGAGACCTGCAGTGTAAACTCTTCCCCTGCCCCCCCCACCCAGGGACACAGGCCAGATGGTGGGGGGAGGCCAGGCAGGGTCCAGGGCCAAGGGTTCAGGTGCACAGGCAGGCCTTGCTACTGCCTGTCCAGAAGGGTTGTGGCTGGCTGTGTAGCCCCTCCAGGCCCCAGGGATCCCCTGTGATTGGCCTTCCTGCCGTGGACCAGCATCAGCTCAGGGGCTGGGCGCCTTTAGAGGTTATCTTCTGTTAGACCATGAGGTGGATGTCTTCTCGTTTTTTGCTGGTTCTGGGGCTTGAACACTGCCCCTGTGCTTTTATGCTCATGACTAGCACTCTTATTACTTTGAGTCACAGCTCCATACCCAGCTTTGTGGTGATTGGTGATGAGTCTTGTGAGCTTTTCTGCTTGGAGTTGGCTTTGAACCTTGATCCTCAGATCTCAGCCTCCTGAGCAGCTGGGCTTACAGGTGAGCCACTAGCACCCAGCCTTAGGCCTTGAGCTTTGGCCAAGAATAAGTATGTGTAGATCATAAGAGAGCATGTGCCTGATGCTGCCAGAAAACCTTGTCTAGGCCAGGTGTGGTAGTCATGCCTGTAATCCTAGGGCACAAGATTAAGAATATCATGGTTTGATGGGCTGGGAAGGTGGGTCAGTGGTAGAGCGCTCGCTTTGCATGCACGAGGCCCTGGGTTCAATTCCTCAGCACCACATAAGCAAAAAGAAAAAAGCCGGAAGTGGCGCTGTGGCTCAAGTGGTAGAGCGCTAGCCTTGAGCTGAAGAGCTGAGGGACAGCAAAAAGAATATCATGGTTTGAGATCAGGCCTGGTAAAAAGTTAGGAAGACCTATCTCAAAAACATGTCAGGAGTGATGGTGTGTACCATGATCTCGGCTATGTGGGAGTCATAGGCAGAATTGTGGTCCAAGAATCAGAAAGACATAACTGAAGCAAACAAGGGCTGGGCACCTCCTGCCTACTCAGGAGGTTCAGATTTGAGGATTGTGGCAGACAAATCTGAGATTCTTATCTCCAGCTAACCAGCAAAAAGCCCAGTGCTGGTGGCTCACACCTGTAATCCTACTCAGGAGGCTGAGATCTGAGGATCATGGTTCAAAGCCAGCCTGGGAAGGAGACTGTGAGACTCTTATCTTCAATTAACCATCAGAAAGCTGGAAGTGGTAGTGCAAGGAACAATATATATTGTGATACTCAGTTTAATAAAATCTTCATAAACTTTCCTACCGGGGCTGGCTTCAAACTGTGCTCCTCAGATCTCAGCCTCTTGAGTATCTAGGATTGCAGTGTAAGCCACCAGTGCCCAGCTAATAAAAATTAACTTTTAACATGGAAGCAAGCAGTTCCTTTAAAATAACCTTTTATCTCTGAATGTCGTGGGTGTCTTACTACATATAATCCCCACCCACATACAAAGGAGCTAGTGAGACAAACTTCAAAATTAATCTTAGACACTAAGGGTTGTGTGTGCGCGCCGATGCTCGGGTCTGAGCCCCTGCTGCCACACTTGGCCAGTGAGTCTGTTTCAGGGGACATGAACTACAGTACAGAAAAGGCCTTCTTGTTTGTTTTTTTTTTTTCTTGTGGGTTTTGAGCATAGGGCCTCATGCTTGCTAAGCAGGCCCCCTACCTGAACCATATCAGACTTCCAGCCCTTCTCCGTGCTGGTTATTTTTGATAGACTCTATTTTGGGCTTCCTGTTGTTGCTGAGAGGCACAGGACACCATGTTTGTCTTTCCGCCCCATGGACTTTTTTGCCCAGACAAGCCTTGAACTGTACTCTTCCCAGTCTCAGTCTCCCACGTTATTAAGTTTACCACTGTATTCAGCTGTGGGTTGAGAAGGGCCTTGAAAACCAGGTTAGCCTCCAACTGCTGCCTTCCCATGCCCAGCCTCCCAACTGCCGCCTTCCCATGCCCAGCCTCCAGCTGCCGCCTTCCCATGCCCAGCCTCCAACTGCTGCCTTCCCATGCCCAGCCTCCCAACTGCCGCCTTCCCATGCCCAGCCTCCCAAGGAGCTAGGACCACAGGTGTGAGCCACCAGGGCGTGGCGCCTTCATCCCTCTGTCTTTAATTTTCACATGCTTCTCTATATGGTTTCATTTTGTCCATTTTACAAAGCTTTGCCTGTATTAGTCTCTACATGTAGTTATTAAACCTGTCAGAATGATTTGTTATGTATATATAGGTCCTACTATTGCAACCAATTAGACCAACAGACCCAGTTTATTTATTTATTTATTTATTTATTTTTATTTATTTATTTTTTTGTTGGTCGTGGGGCTTGAACTCTGGGCCTGGGCGCTGTCCCTCAACTCTTCAGCTCAAGGCGAGCGCTCTACCACTTGAGCTACAGCGCCACTTCCGGTTTTCTGCTGGTTTATTGGAGATAGGAGTCTCACGGTCTTTCCTGCCCGGGCTGGCTTTGAACCGCGATCCTCAGATCTCAGCCTCCTGAGTAGCTAGGATTACAGGCGTGAGCCACCAGCGCCCGGCCCAGTTTATTTTTTGTTGGTGATGGAGTTTGTCCCTGTGCTCAAGGCTCTAGGTGCCTGACCACCTGAGTCACAGTACCACTTCTGGTTTTCTGATGGTTAATTGGAGATAAGGGCCTTTTCTGCCCTGGGCCAGCTTTGAACCAAGATCCTCATATCTCAGTCTCCTGAGTAGTTAGGAATAAAGGTGTGAATCACCAGTACTTGGCCAGACCCAGTTTTTCAATTCCAAGTTCCACAAAGATAAAATTCAAAGTTGCATAAATAGGGAGCAACTTAAGTGTATAAAAGTTATCATCTTAGCCTCTTGCAAGCACAAGAAATAAAAGGATTAAAAACTACCCAAAAACCCATCCAAAAAAACTGCAAGTGTAGCTGTGGCTCAAGTGGTAGAGAGTGGGCCTTGAACACAAAAGCCAAGCTCATGCCCCAGCACCAGAATAAACATGGCCAGAAGTAGAGGTGTGGCTCAAGTGGTAGAGTTCAAACTCTACCGAACATAACAAAAACACCAGCAAGGCCGCGCCCTGTGCGGTGGCTGGCGCCGGTGCCCCCCTGCAGCTGGGTCGGCCGGGCGGGTAGGACCTTTCCTTAGGCCCAGGTGGACAGAGGCCGGAGGTGAGGGGAAGGCTGGGAGGCGGCTCGGGACATGGGGGCGCCCGGGCCCGGAACCACTTCGCCCGGGCGCAGGAGGACGAATGGCAGCGGCGGAACCGGACGCTGCTCACCTACGTGGCCGCGGCCGCCGTGGGCATGCTGGGGGCCTCGTACGCGCCCCTTTATCGGCTCTACTGCCAGACTACAGGACTTGGTGGATCAGCAGTAGCAGGGCATGCATCAGACCAGATTGAAAACATGGTGCCTGTTAAGGACTGGATCATTAAGGTGATCTTCAATGCAGACGTGCATGCCAGTTGCCAGTGGAACTTCAGACCTCAGCAAGCAGAAATATATGTGGTACCAGGAGAGACTGCACTAGCATTTTACAAAGCTAAGAATCCTACCGACAAACCAATAATTGGAATTTCTACATACAATGTTGTACCATTTGAAGCTGGGCAGTATTTCAATAAAATTCAGTGCTTCTGTTTTGAAGAACAAAGGCCTAATCCCCAAGAAGTACATTGATCCGGAATTTGCTGAAGATCCAAGAATGGTGAACGTTGATCTCATCACTCTTTCTTATACTTTTTTTTTTAAGGTAAATAAATATATTTGTGTGTGTTGGTCCTGGGTCTTATACTTTTTTTGAAGCAAAGGAAGGGGAAAAATTGCCACCTCCAGGCTATAACTGAAGTAGCAACCAAGACCTGCTTCAAATTTGTGATTTTTGAAAAATCATTTATCCTGCCCTCTGTTTTTTTTTTTTTTTTTGGGTCTGGTTGTGGGGCCTGAACTCTGGGCCTGGGCGCTGTCCCTCAGCTCTTTAGCGCAATGCTAGTGCTCTACCACTTGAGCCACAGCGCCACTTCCGGCTTTTTTCTTATGTGGTGCTGAGGAATTGAACCCAGGGCCTCAGGGCATGCAAGGCAAGCGCTCTACCATTGAGCTACCTTCCCAGCCCTATCCTGCCTTCTCTGAAGAGAAATATTCTACAATCGTGTAAATTGAAGCTTCTATTGTTAAATGGCTCTGCTTTTCTTTTTCTCTAATTTATCCCACTTAAAATAGGTTAAGCTTGTACCATACATGCCTATGAAGAATATGTGACTGTTTAATAACACACTGACAGTATTAAAAGAAACTGCTTTATACTTTTTTTTTTGGGGGGGGGGTCCGGTCATGGGCCTGGGCGCTGTCCCTCAGCTCTTCAGCTCAAGGCTAGCGCTCTACCACTTGAGTCACAGCGCCACTTCCAGCTTTTTTCTTTTTGTTTATGTGGTGCTGAGGAATCAAACCCAGGGCCTCAAGCATGCAAGGCAAGCGCTGTACCACTGAGCAACCTTCCCAGCCCCTGCTTTATACTTTATATATGCATGAGTTTGATGGTCCAGCTTAATTCTATAGTTTCCTTTTTGATTAGTAACCCTTCATACTTTTAGCAATGAATCTGAAAAAGTTTTAAAGAATTTATGCTCCAGATTGTTTAGGTCAGGCCAGAACATCTAGCTACATATTTTGCTATCTCCAAAATATTTGGCTGTTTATTTCCTTCAACGTAAACACTTATTATTTTAGATATTCCAAGTGGAGAAGAGTCACTGAGGACTAAGAGCTTTTTTTTGACGACTTCAATATCTGTGGCTGTTTTACTTTCAGAGTACTGAATAGGTAATTATTTGGAAATTATGGTGGTATTATTGAAATAAAATGCAAGAATTATATATATCAGGCTATATTAGCATTTACCTTCATAGTTCCAACTCTAGTTAATACTAAAACACAAGGGTAGGATTGTGAAGATGTACTGATGTAAAAGTTCTTTTGAAAACAAGACTAAAACAAAGATTATTAAATTATTTTAATAGTAAAAAACAAAAACAAAACAAAAACAACACCAGCAAGCTGCTGGTGGCTCACACCTGCAATCCTAGTTATCCAAGAGGCTGAGATCTAGGGGACCATGGTTTGAAGTCAGCCTAGGCAAAAAGTCCAGACTCCATCTCCAAAACAGCAAAGAGCTAGGCTGGAAGTGTCTCAAGTGACAGAAAACCAGCCAGGCAAGCAAGCTAAGTACAAGGCCAAGTTCAAACCCCAGTACTGCCAAACAACAAAAAAGCAAATGTTAGCTGGTCATGGCGGCACAGCTAGGCAGGGGTGGCAGGGCTGCAGCCCAGCATCGCCCCAGGGAGATAAAAAGGAACTAAACAAAACAAGACCAGGTGGTGAGTTCAGTTTGAATGTAGAGAAACTTTATTTAGACTTCTTTTAAAAATCAATCTAGTTTAAAAGTAAGTTGAGGTAACAAGAACTCAAAACTAAGACAAGTCAGACAGACGTAGAACAGACAAGTGGACAGAGGGGAAGGCAGACTGTGGTCAGACCTTGTCCATCTTGGAGATGAGACAGGAGAATGGACAGATGGATGGACAGACAGGAGAGGGCTGTCTGAGCTCAGATCTTGACCCTCTTGGAGATGAGAGAAGACTGGACAGGTGGACGGAGAGACGGGAGGGCTGGCTGTGCTCAGATCTTTTCCATCTTGGAGATGAGGTCATCACAGATCTTGGATAGTTCCTCGTTTTCTTTAGTCTGAAGGGAAAAAGGGGCACTGTGTCTGAAGATGATCAGGGGGAGCCCTTCTATCCCAAGGCCGGCGGGTCCTGTGCCCCACCTTCTGCTCCACAGTCTTCTCCAGAGACTGAATCTGCATCTGTGCCTTCCTCAGGCTGGCTTGGAAGGCCAAGGCCTCTGCTTGGGCCTTGCTTCGGACCTGAGTGATCTCCTCATTTGCTCTGCAGGGGGTGGGGGCGGAGACAAAGGTGGGCTCAGTTCAGAGGCATCCCTCTCTCCCTCCCTCCCTCCTGCAGTCTGGGGTCTGTGCCCGCACTCACAGTTTGAGCTTCTCCTCTGCGTGGACCTTTAGCACCTGGTACCGCTGGCCCTCCTTCTCAATCCTCGCTATGTACTCTTCCACACACTTCTTTAGGGAGTCTTCATTCTTTAGGAGGGAGCACACACAACGGTTGGTGGTGTGCCGTTGTATCAGACCACTTGGGCACTGAGCCGAGGTGCAGGCTGCAATGTTGTCTGGGGGGCGGTGGGGCATCCAGCCTACGCCACGCGCTCCTGTGGCCTTCCTCCCACAATGCACTCCGCAAACACCCCATGTCCACAAAAGGCTCAGTGCTGCTTGGTGCTGGAATCTTAGCTACTTAAGGAGGCTGAGATCTGAAGGTCATGGTTCGAAGTCAGCCCAGGCAGGAAAGTCCACCAGACCCTCAGCTCCAGTTACTTACCAAAAAGCTGGGGATGGAGCCATGGCTCACGTGGTAGAGCATTAGCCTTGAACACAAAGAGGCTCAGGGATAATGCCCAGGCCCCGAGTTCAACCCCAGACTGGCACTGATACCCCCCCTCCCCCCCGGCTGGTCATCACTGGCTGTGTGCACACTGTGCTCCTCATGACACGAGTCCTCGCTGAGGGTTTTTTTGTGCCTCTGGGGATCAAATTCAGAGCCATACGCGTGCCAGACAAGTGCTTTGCCAAGCAGCCGCAGCCCTGGCTCCTCTGCGGGGTTCTACCCTTCAGCCTGCTCTCCCCTTTCCAGAGTCGATGGGGTACGGGGCCACCTGGGGTCGGGGAGTGGGAGACCGCACAGAGGGGACACGGCCCGGTGCGGCAACACCGGGGCACAGCACAGCGCACCACGCACCTTGCGGTAGCCTTCAATCACCTCCTTCTGCTTCTCAAATCGCTTGAAGAGGTCGGAGAATGACTTCTCCATGGAGTTCAGGTCTGCAGTAAGTTGGTCTCTCTCCTTAAGAACCTTCTGGATTTTGTCTTGGGCAAGTTCTTTCTGTTTCTGGGTCTCCTCTTAAAGAGAGGCACCATGTGGGATTAGGAGCAGCTGCCATGCAAGGTGCCAGAAACAGCCCAGAAAACAAGGGCCGGGAGGGGCAGCAGGAGAGGCAGGTGGCTTGGAATAGGACTCTCAAGACGTGACCCCCTCCAGGTGACAAGCCTCCCTTTCCGTGTGCCCTTCCATGTCTGCCCCACAGGGAGCGCAGAGAGGGCAGGGGCAGGACACCCCAGTGAGACAGGCCAGGTGTCACCTGCTTTGTCTCTGCTCGACCTAGCCTGGACCCTCATGGGGACACCTCCACGGGCCGGGCCCCTGCGTTCCTGCAGAGGCCCCTGGACAGGGCCTTCTCGTGTGGGCAGGGCATGGCGGAGCAAAGGCCCCTTGGTCTGTGTTCTCCCATGGTCCTGTCAGCTTGGGGTCCAGGTGAGTTCCAGCCACATGGGTGGCCCACCTAACCCCATCCCACCCTCAGTGGTCCCTCTGTAAGGGGACCGTGGGAGGCGTAACACAGCAGGGGCCCAGCTAGGGCAGGGCTGACCACACCTGAGGACACAGGAAGAAGTAGCTGGTGTTTTACCCATTGAGTGGTGCACGATCGCTTCAAACCCGTCCACGATCTTCCTGTGGGGAGAGGGCTGGTGAGGGTCTGTGGCTGGTCACCGGGACAGGCCTGGGCCAGGGTTGCTGCGCAGCAGCCTTACCCCATCTCCAGGTACTTCACGTGGAGCTCCTCACACTTGCTTTTCAGCTCCAGGTTCTCCTGCTGAATCGCACTCACCTGCCAAAGCATATGCCTGTCAGCACTGCCAGCCCCGCCGGCCCAGTGTCACCAGGAGATGGGGCCGGGGCTGTGCTCATGTGGGCCCCCCGTCACGGAAGCCTCAGGGCCTCCGACGAGAGTACCCCGGAGGGTCTTCCTGTCAGAGACACAGGTCAAGTGAGGGCCTCCAGTTGGCAGAAGGCCGGCAACGGAGGGAAAGCCAGACTTGAAGTACAGAGGACTCGTGTGGACTTCTGGGCTTGTCCTGTAATATCATGGGGTCCTAAGACAGGGGTGGGATGGGTGCAGACGTTCCTACAGGTACCCTGGAACGACGGGGCGCGTCACGTCACAGGCCCTGGAGGGAACACACCGTTGGGGCCACAATTGGCTGTTTGAGAGCAGATGCTCCCCTGCTCCATCAGTGTGCACGTCCCTGAGAAGGGCTCTGGAGCCTCTTAAAACAGGCGGGGCCACGGGGACTAAAGAGGACGGGGTGCAGCGTGGGGCTTCACACCTGAGCACTGTGGAGACCTGGATTCTGGAGACAGCGTGGGCAGGTAACAGAGCGTCCTCAGGCTTGTAGCTCCAAGCACCATCTCAAGCCACTGGCCACCCATGAGATTCCCCCAGAGACCCACACTGCCGCCATTTCCCCATGGGATGGATGGCTGAATCTGGGCTGCCAGCTGGCATGTGCAGAGCTGCCAAGCGATGACTGGGCTGTGGGGAGGGATGCCACACCAAGGCTGTGCTTAGACCATTGGGACCTTTTTTTGTGTGTGTGGTTAAGGGGCTTGAACTCTGGGCCTGGGCGCTGTCCCTCAGCTCTTCAGCTCAAGGCAGGCATTCTACCGCTTGAGCCACAGCGCCACTTCCTGGGGCCTACTTCTTACTGCCCCCAGGCAGCCCGCGTCCTCACCGCCGCGTCCAGGTCCCTCTGGCTGTACTGCAGCACCTCCACGATGGGCCCAGTGGACGGCTCTCCAAGCCCAAGGACACGAGGGGACGGGCCAGGCGCCTGCTGGGGTGAAACAACCGGCCCTCAAGACCACCGCTCCCGCCCTCGGCCACACAAGGATTGCTCCGAAGAGGTTGAAGTGCTTACAGGAACATCCAGAGCGCCCAAAAAGTCCAACTCCACAAGCTTGGCTTCCAGTAGGTTTCTGGAGGCGGGCCTGTCTGCATCCTGCGGGCTGAAGATAGACAGCAGCTGGCTCACCTCATGCACTTGCAGGGAGCAGGGCACAGGGGCAGAGGCACCCAGTCTTAACAAGGCCTGTGTCTGGATTTATATCTATTTGAAAAGGTCTTGCCATGTAACCCACATTGGCCACAAACCCGTAATTCTCCTGCCTCAGCTTCCTGAGGGCTGTGATTACAGACATGCACTACTATATCCCATAGTGGCTGGAAACAGAAAATGCAGAATGGTATGTCAGGCCTGATGCCTCCACGGGCCCCAGCCCCCACCTCCCTCCTTCCTGCCATCAGCCTGAGCCACGCCTGATGCTTCGCTGCCAGGGTG